TCCCGAATTTATTCCCAGAGTGATGTCATGGGCTTGCTGGCGGGTCTGGATGTTCTGCCAGCATTCCAGAGAGTTTATGATCACTGGCAGATGCGCATCCAAGAACACACTGTACCCAGAGCAGAAATTAATGCAGGCTTGAGTGCCGTCCAAGCCTCAAACACGGGAGAGGAGGCAAAGGAAAGGAAAACACAAACTGTTTAATGCTGTTGATAAATTATACACTAGCCGATGAAAAATACATTTCTTTCTTTCTTTCTTTCTCCGGCACCCGCCTCCTCTCCTCTCTCCTTCTCCTTCCCCTTCCTCTGTTTTTCCTGCCCAGCTTTGAGAGTTTAAGCTGGAATAATATGGTTTCGCTTTGAGCTCCTGTTCTGGCAAGAAGACCCTCTCAGTTCCTACATCAGATTCGCATGCAGCATGTTTCTTTTCTCTCTCCCATTTATCATCTAGCCTTTACTAACAAACAATTTTTTTAAAATTTAACTTCTCTGGCTGCATCCACACTGCAAAAATAATGCAGTTTGACACCACTTTAGCTGCTGTAGATCCATGCTAGGGAATTCTGGGAACCAAAGCACAAGAGCTCTCTGACAGAGAAAGCTACCGTAAATGTCTTACAAACTACAAATCCTAGAATTCCAGAGGATGGAGCCATGGAAGTTAAAGTGGTGTCAAACTGCATCATTTCTGCAGTGCGGATGCAGCCTTTGTCATAGTTTTGGAGTGCTTTTTTTTAAATCTGATTTCCCTTCCTCGATCCTCCAAATTTAACTTGAGGGCCCTTTTGAAACCCCACCATCCTAACTTCCTAGCTGCTTCTCCTCTGATGATAACTTTGCTTCTAAACGTATGGGTCCTTTATCTCCCAACCAGTTCTTGGATGCAGCTACCATGTAGAAATAATGCAGTCTGACACCACTTAAAGTGCTGTAGTGCATTCCTAGGGAATCCTGGGATTTGTAATTTGACAAAGAGCATTTCACCTCCTCTACCAAAGACAGCTGGTGCCTCACCAAATTACAAATCCCAGGATTCTGCAGAATGGCACCATTTTGGCTAAAGTGGTGTCAAACTCTTATTCCTACAGTGTAGATGCACCCTTGTTTTCTAAGTCCCTAGTCCTCTGCAAGGGGGGGGGG